TGCATGCTAAATTTTCCCAGTTAACATATAAACAATCCAAGGAATTAAAATAAGAGTTGAGGCACATCCATTTCACAGCAGGTAAGAGTAGCAGATGGTGGAAATGTGGTTGATTTGCATCTTGTAAAACCTCATTGCTGTTTTGAAGGAGAATCCAGTATTGAGTTTGGTTGAGGGAATAGCATATCTACTGGAGATTTATGAGTGTGGTATCATATGTTGGTTAAACCCGTTCTGTGCTGTGAAAGTAGGGTAATTGAACACATGAAAGTGCAACCTGATGCTGCTGGTTATAGTGTTAGTCTAATCATCAACTAATTATAAAATTACACTTCTGGTAACCAACTTATTGTCAAGTTGCAAGTTGGTTCCCAATCTTTAAAAAGGGTCTTCTTATTTAATTATAGTTTCACAATTAGTCTCCAGTGACAAACACTGTCCAATCTTTGTCGACTTTCAAACTGTATGAAGGTATATATCTTGGATGGCTTGTGTTTGAAGTGAGGTATGTTTACATGTTGACAATTTAATGAAGATTGGAAGGGTTTTCACAATTGGAGACTGAACAATAAAAGGTTTGGATCAATTTGTTTATATTTGAAGGTTGAGGATTGATAAGAAAAATAGGTAGGTGAGTTTTACCAACATGGTATGGTAAATGGCTAAAGTCGTAGTTATTGAAGTTGGATTGATATTATAGTGACAAGATAGGATATAATTGGAATTTAAGAAAATTCATTAGAAGAACCAAAGAGAGAAACTTGAAAAAGGCAGGTGGCTGTTTATGTTAATTATGACACGTTTTCCTTGGGAAAATTGCAGTCGAAGTATCAAACATTTCATCTAATAGCAGACTTGATTCAAATTTATGTCATCGTAGGTACCAAAGCTTCAAAAAATGATGGTTTCTGTCAGCTTGACCCTAGAAATCGTCAGTTGACCTAGAAATTAAAATTTCAATAATTTTCTCCAAATAAGTGAAGGGTAGTTTGGACATAATATATTTTCTCTATTAAATCAAAAACAAAAAACGAAAATAAAAAACAAAAACAAAACTCCATCTCCTTCTTCGCCCACCCTCGCTCCTAGCTCCTTCCAGATTTTCTCTCTCCATATAAGCAGTTTCTCCCCCATTCTATCTTTTTCTCTCTCTCTCTCGAAATCGACTCATAACAATTTCCCACAAGTATTTGAGTATATACCAATCCTATTTTGCATATTTTCTGTTTGATTTTGCATATGTAGTGTTTAATTCGAACTTAGATTCGAATGTGAATCTTTTGTGCAAGGAGTGGGTTGTTTAAGTGAGGGAATCTAAGGGGGTGTTTGCTTGGGATTTTTGGGGGAAGAATTAATTTTTGAATAGTGATATGTGTGTGGTTGAAAAAGAAAAAAAAAATTATTGATGTGATGGAAAATATTATTTTATTGAAGAATGTGTGGCTGAAAATGAGAATTGGTTTACTGTAAAATTTGAGAATCTCAAACAAACAAGCTCTAAGATTTTTCTTCAATGGCTGTGCATTTTGTTGCAGTTTTAGGGGATAATTAATTCAGTTTGATTATTTGTTTATTTATTTATTTTGTTGGATTATGCTTCGGATTAATTATTGATTTTGGTGGGATTGGTTCTAGTTATATTAAAATGTTTATGATTTGTTCATGTGATTGAGGATTGGCTGTGGAGCTGGAGTGGGAGTGTAATTTCCATCCAAACAAAAAACGAAAGGTTGCCTACAAAAGTGTCAATTTCTCGCTTAATATCAGTTTCGCGCTTTCAGTTATTTTTTTTCTTGTGCACGAGGGAGCTACTAGTTTTGAGAGTGGTGGTGCCTATTTTTGAGGCAACGTTGTAGCGATGGTTCCAATGGTGGCCACCAGCTGAGTGGGGATGGTTTTGATTTTGGGGCAAGGGATTGGGGAAGAAGGAGATGGGATGGGGTTATGGTTGTTTTATTATTATTATTGAATAGAAAAAATGTATTATGTAAAAAAATACCATTATCTTATTTGAGGAAAATTATTAAAATTTTAATTTCAGGGTCAACTGAAATTTTTTTGTTCAAACTAACAGAAATTGTCATTTTGGACTAGACATGCGAAATTTTTAAAGTTTTGGTACCTATGGTGGCACAAATGAAATGTTTGGATCAAGTCTGTTATTAAATGAAAAGTTTGGTATCTTGACTGCAATTTTTCCTTTTTCCTTTTAACATTGTTATTTTGATCTATGGCCCTGTTTGGTCCACATTATTTTTTCATTCTCATTCTTCTACTTATTTTCAACCAAACATTCTTAAATAAAATAATATTTTTCATCACATCAATAATTTTTCTTTCTTTTTCAACTATATATTCCATATCACATCAATAGTAAAAATGCATTCTTACCTTTAAAATGTGTACCAAACGGGTATATATAAATATCAAAAGAAGGAATTGTTGGATGTATTTACTTTTTTTTTGTTTATTTTAATGCTGAGGGTAATTTTGTCTACTTGGAAAATAGAAAATTGACGGTAGAGAATTTACTGAGCTTCGATTTGGTAGGGATTAAAACTTAGATTTAATTTAAGTCAAAATCAGTAATTAATTTTAATTACATATTTCATAAGATCTACAATTTTTTGATAATGCATTTATCAACTTTTATTCAAATATATTAAAAATTTGATTTTAATCATGATTGAGTAGATTATAAAATGTTGATGGTAGTAATACTAAATAATAATTTCAAGCTAAAAGACTCTCTCTCTCTCTCTCTCTCTCTCTCTCTCTCTCTCTCTCGCGGATAATTCTAAACGAAACAAGGCCACGTACGCCCACTTCGTGACAAGGGGGTCAATTGGCCCTATTCGTGTAGCATATATCTCTTACATGTGTAAATATGCATTATTTTTAGGGAGGCAAATCTTTATCTATCTACGTAACCTTTCGAATAATAATAAAGTTATTTGTATAATTATTGTTGATAATTCATGTGTTGTCAAGATTTAAAAAATAGTTTTTAAAATGGATATTTTAGATTCTTGTCAACTCATAATTGTTAATAAGGTTGTCAATCATGATTGTATATATATGGTTCTTTAATCAAGGACACAATGGATGTGATTTACTTTCATGCATTTTGCTTTTCAATTTCCACAAAAAGGGTACAATATATACCAAATGGAAAATTCTACTTGTACAACCGAGGTTGACAACCTTTCACATGTGTCCGGGATCCGCATGTTTAAAAAATGCAAAAAAAA